CAACAGCCCAAGTTCCCACACCCCAAACCAGTAAAATAAAACAACAAAGTGAAGGACAAAAATGGAAGTAACATGCTCGAAAATCGCAGAGAAGTACAAAACAAAATCAGGGGTGTAAATAAATAAGGAAATATTATGTGATGTTTAAAATGAAGATAGGGTATGGATGCATCTATCCTAATACGATCAATTCTGAGCCATATCACTTACAATCGTCAAATGTCGGTTTAAGTTGTCATGGGGATCTAACGTAGAAGCTTGCATCTCCCTAAACAGCTCGTACAAACAAAGACTTCATGGATATGTTTTCGTCTGGCCAACTTCACGGTTCTCCGGTCTAACAATACTTCAGTTAACATCGTAATCCAAAGTAGATAGTGACTAGGTTTGTTTAACGCATATCCAATTCATCTTAATAGATGAGGGTTGACAACTTCATCAGCTGACTTGTTTTACCTAACATCACCCATACGTTTACAAAACTAACCTAATCGTTCCACAATACACGTCTAACTGCCACGAAACGATGGTGGTTAAGCAAATGGAGCTTTCGACATAGTAAACTGTGGGACACCTTTACATGCGTTATTTACTAACTTGTGATCTTTGTTCCTACTCTCAATCAATCGTACATTTTTACTTTCATAATTTCTGTGCACATTATTTTGAATCCCACCCAATGTACGTAGGTAACAGTGCATAATTAATTAGATTATACAGTGCATGGTAGGACATGATAAGTGTATCAACTTTCTTGAGCATTAATCAGTCTAGGTTTATTGTTAGCCATAAGTCGCGTGTAATAAATCGTACGATAATTTCGTTCTTGTGAGAGCTAACCAGTAAATCATGCCACGCTATATAGTATCCATATTCAACCTATCATTCGACGATCAATTTACTGATATTCCCTGATTAATCATTTACCACAGAACACAACACCATAAGCTGCTTAGTCAATAGCTTATTAGGAGCCATCCGATCTCCTAGGTGACTGAAGTGATCAACGCGCTCAAAAATATTACTTACTACTGTTAAATGAAGTACAGACATGAGCCAGTCCCAGATTGTTTCTCGGCAAATAAAAAAGACTCTTAGTTTTTTCGGTATCTACAAATGCCAGAACTATGCTGTCTGTTTTCTTTCAGTCAACCAGAGGGTCTCTCGCTGATCAATTTAAGCAGCCAAGTGGAGAAAGAGGTGCCTTTAATGGCCATCTCTACGATAAAAGTAAATAAGAAAACAGTCAAGATCCTTGGTGGAAACGTACGATCACAACTCACTCGATATACCATCATAGGTTGTGACGCTGCCGGGTGTTCCAACGTATAGCTTACAGTGCAGTGACGTAAATGCTCGATATGCCTTTGAGTACCAAACACCGCTATAAGACCTGTAGATCGACGTTATCGAATGTCACTATCAGGTCAAGAAATACGGCTAGTAACGGGGATCGGAAGTGCACTTCCACTCCATTTTGGTGGTGACTGGATCAACATACACAATCAAGTCTGGAATATCCAGTCTTCGCAAGATTTTTGTTCCCAAACTGCAGTCAAACGCCGGTGAATTACCGAGCCCATAATATTAGCCGCTAGGTCAGTGGATATAAACATACAACCTGGCATTACTGCGTGAAGATTCAAGTTGCCATGCTTCTTATCACCACATCAAGCTACAGTGCGCCTAAGTGAAAAAATATGACGAAAAAAGCAGAGAAAGTTGTGAAAGGAGAACAATAAGGAATGAAACAGTTGATGGAACTTGGTATGAAAATTCAGAGGAAGATAATATGTGAATACATCTGCGCTAATGCGATCAATTCGGAGCTGTGTCACCTAAAGTCGCCAACAACTGGTTTCTGTTGTCACGCGGACCCCAACCTTGAAGTCTGCATTCTCTTGCACAGATCGGACTAACTATCAAAGACTTCATACAATGACCCTATGTTTTAGTCTGGTCACCTCTAACACTTTTCGATATGGGGGATAAAAAGAAATGACTAGTCTGTAGAATAACCAATCAAAGTGTATTTTATGTTACCACTTTCATTGCTGGACAAACAGACGGTGGATCAGCCAATCAACAGGATTATCTTAAACAGCGAACTATCTATATATTAGCTGTATTTTCCTATGTTTTGGTATTCGGATTCTCGACCACAAATACACATTTCTGCAAGTCCATCGTGTCTTCTCAATTAGTCAGATCTGCAATCAACTGGTAATTTTTTTAATGTTGATGGTTGACAGTCGAGATTGGTGCATCGTTGGTCGCCATAGCATTTAGCAATTTCTGAATCACAACACTTCAAGCCTGAGTCCGCTTCAGCCAACACTGTGCAGTGGTGACAAGGCATACATGACGCGTGTCCTAGTCACAAAGGTGATGAGGGTGCACAACTTCATCGACTGACTTTTCTATTCTCTTTAAAACGACGCCTGAAGCGGTGACACCACAACACGGTCTGTACCAGGAAGGCGACAGCAGTCAAACACTGAAAGCTTTCTTATGTTCTGTAGCTGAAACAGCAACGTTTCTCAACAACATACTTGAACAAACCGAACTAGAGTATAGTACACTCAACCTGTTAAGGGTAACTTGATACCACAGCCACGGTACTAATGGTATAAGTTGTCAAGAACTAATCGAGGCTTTTGAATCCGTGCAGAAACTTCGTCAGCCACTCACCTTACGAAGTTGGGCTGCTCCGACTTCCTAGGTTAGTACAGTCGTCAACACATTCAACCACTTCACTCCACACTGTTAGACAGAACAACAACGTAAAGCAATCGCACCTTACAAACATTCTAAAATCACCGCTCAGTGTGTCCCGCAGACTTTCCATCGTGTCAGCGTCTTCACCTAACACGACTATGTCGTTCGTGTAATCTAGTTCAGACCCACTAACGAGTCTCCTGTGACGAGATCAATTCCTGTGAAGTCAGATGATGGGTGGGAGACCTCCATCAGCACATCTATGGTAGAATTAAGTAGTAATAATAGTAATAATGATAATGGAGAGAGGGAGGACATCTTTGATGGACACCACTTGATACACACAACTCACCTGATACCTCACTCACCATAGGCCCTAACACGCCCAGGAGTGTTCGAGTACAGAACCTTCAACAGAGTGGTGGACCTGCCCAGTACGCATTTCACTGAGAGATACCACCATAAGATCTCCCGATCAAAGGAGTTGGATGTCACCTTCAGGTGAAGAAATACAGCTTGCGTTGGGCATTGATAAGTGTGTCTGTGTTCCAGAATCTGGTGGAAGTTGAGTATCTGGTCGATACACCCACCAGTGGATTTGAAACCTGCTTAGTTTTCTCGTGGTTTCTGTTTCTCTGTTCCACTGAGACGTTTGTTGACTACAGAATTTAAAATCTTAGACACTGTGTTTGTCGGACTGACTCTCCTGTGTGACTTCGTATTACACTTACACACATGATATAGTATTATTTACATGATGCAGGATATATTGCCCACAATCATTTGATATGATATTTGATTGCCATAAGAGGATTTCTCGATTTTTTTGTAGACTGGAACAATCAATGATTGAGACAGGTTAGAGGGCGTCGTGTGTAATTGCCTTACGCTAGCTAATTTTTCAGTTCATCCAACCAATACTCCTCAACTATCTGTGGTACTAGCCCATCTAGCTTTGGTGCCGTTCCTCATTTCAGGTTGTTTACAGCCCACTCGACTTCTGCAAGAGTCGTAGGCATATATCCCACTGAAAAGTCGGCGACGGAATCGACGCTAGGGACGAGTTGAATTGTTCCTCGAAGTGTTTCGCATAATGTCCCAGTAGTCGTGTCTGTGAATGAATGAATTGTTGACCCATGCTTATCCTCCACAGTCTCATTAACCATTGACGTTTTCTCCCAGCTTCCTTGACAAGTGTAAATAAATGTCTGTTGTAACTTGTCGTGGCTCCTCCTTTCATTTATTTAGCCTTCGCTACCCGCGTGCACCTCTGTTCAATGTTACCGCAGTGACTTCTCATCTGCCTGCACTTGTCATTGGGCTCGGATCCAGCAGGAATGTGTTCATATGCATCCGTTAATTTAGAATAAGTTATCGGGATCCATTAGCATCTTTTAACACCTTTCTGAGGGTCAGTTAGAGTCCTCATTTTCGTCATTACAGTAGATTGGAGATGGCACCAGGCTTCTATAGGTTGAGTGATATTATCCTGTTCCGATGAGTGTATAGCCAGTTTCTTATTGACGGTAGTCTTAATTTTCTCATCATCGAGGTGCACTTGGAGTGAGTCATGTTGGTGTAGTTTTTCTACGTCTATTTAGACGCAAATATAGTAGTGCTGAAACCTGTGGGTGATTACTGTCCGAATATGTGCTGTTGAAGCAGTGGCTATCTCCCATGAACCTTCTTTAGCCATAATTGATTCTCATATTATTTATTTTTTTCCATCGTTGAATTGAGGACGTTTGATGTCCCGTCATCTAAAGTTTTTCATTGTGTCTGATTTTCGAGTTGGTCAGAAATAGGTTACTTTGTCAAAACTCATTATTTCGGTGGTCAATAAAATCCTAACCTTAAATTGGTAGATACATAACCTTCGACTTTAAATGAAAGCCACAGGACGAAGCATCATTTCAACTACTAGCGTGTAAACAGTAGGCAAAAGGTAGTAAACAGATCCAGAAAAATTAAATGACATGTGCAACATGTTGTCACACGAGTGGAGTGAACAATAACTGGAAATAAAGCCATACTGTGGTAGTGGAAAGGAAGATTTTACTAAGGTTGATTAAGTAAAATAAAATGCTTCATGAACAGCAAATAAATTGACATAAGCCAGAAGATAGCTAACGGACAAAATAAAACAAAAGGTGGTCGCGAAATTAGAGATGAAACAAGCTGTGACAACTTACTATACCTCATGGTTAGAAAAACAAAGTGGCTATTGGATTCATCAAATACATGCTAAGGATAGTATACATAATTACGAGAAAATGGCTCACCTGTCTGCCATACAAGCTGTATCCACACACATGAACTACCAAGTAAGTAGATCAATGTATTGGGCACGAGAAAGTAACACAACAAATCAGCCATGATTGCAGTAACAGTAAAAAACAAAGCAAATGCCTAAAATATTGAGAGAGTTTTATTAGAGATAATCCGAGAGATAATTCCGATATATAAAAAGACATGTGCTACATCTTCTGGGTATATTTCCGTCAGTCTCACTTTAAAAATGCGTTTTTCAAAACAACAACATATTCCACCAGTATCAAATCCAAAGCATTTCAACCCCTTAAGTTCGTACTACTCTAAGACGACGGATGCACTTGAATTAGAGGATGTTAACCTAATAAAAAAAATCATAGATATCAGTTTACATTCTGATAATAAACATCAGCCAACAAATATCTTTTTCATTTCAAACAGCTCTTAGTATTTGATACTTTATAGAAGACCATAAACAGGTCTAAGCTCTATATTAATACCTATATATTGATTATCACTGTGACAATATGAGAGAACCGCGGTTTAGTAGACCCATATTATTAGTACTGGCTAATGGTAAGCAACTGGGTTTCGTAGTTCAGTTGAACCAGTAATCCGGAGGGCACTGACTGAAACCTTTCAGCGACCCAAATTTTCATTTAACCTTCGATCATCACCCAGCATCAATTACATGTTGACAACACTGTCAACCACTTCCACCTCAAGTAAACAGGCATTTGATTGATCTGAAGATAGTTTTACCAAGATTCGATGTCAGTCAGAGAGAGATTGGAAATCGGGTAACTTTGACAGATGACTCACCACAGTTTCGGACTTACTGGGAGCGCTCATCCGCGAGCCCACACAAGATAACACCTATAGTGTGAATATGGCCTAGTATCATCAGTAGTCATTAGCGGTTACTCTTCATGAGGATCGCCATATTGAAAAGCAAAGAACAAACTGAAGACCCGTTTTATATAAGAGAAATTGTAAAGTATTTTCCCACAGGTGCACATATGATAGAATTTGATCTGACAAGCTGGTAATCTCTCCATAACTAAGTTATTAACAACTACAAGACATAAAAAATTAGATATTCGATTCAAGAATATACCAAGGGCGCTGTGGAAAAAATACGAAACGTATTATTGGGTCCTAGTATTAGTGGGAACATTGCTCATTGGGAGGCAGATATACCCAGCTGACGAGTTCCAAATTGGACAGAACGCGCATCTGGATTCCACCGCCATTATCTATCGTTAGTATTACGTGGCAGTTCGAATATGAATGCAGATGCCACGTAAATAACATAGTTAATTAAATCGGTTCAATTCTAACAAAATTCCCCAATAAATAAACTCCCTTGAAAGTAATAAGTTCTTCACAGCCACGCAATGTATTTCTTATTTTTACTCTTATTTTCTAATTCTACCTATTATTACTCAAATCTCAAATTGACTGAGTATTTTTTAGATATGCAACTGCAAAGTAACATAAACCGAATAACGCTTTAGATGCATTTAGTGTTCATAGTCATCTGGAGGGGACTTTGAGACCAAATTTTAATAGTTTTAATCTCTTATTTGCAAGTTTTAAGTAATGAGTCCCGGGATCGAGCTTCACTCCACCTACTTCGACCCGGGCAGTCAAGTGGTAGGATCATAAACCTTCAAATGATAAGTGTGGTTCATAGCTAAGTACATAAACATACACTGGGATGAGTTACAAGAAGCTTCCAATTCATTTGTAAGTAAAAGAATAAGAACAAAGCCATGGGGTTGCGTTGATATAACCACGGATGGTAAGTTTTAAGCAAAATATTATTCGATAAGTTCTACTGCATTTCGTAATGATAAATATAACATGAACCACTCTCCCATACTTAACAAATCGGTCGACAATCGATGCAGCTATCCAGTTCTACGTGCTCAGCTTTGACCAAAGTCAATCAGTTATATGATGCAACATTGTGGTGCACTGTATTACGGCGTCAGACGTTCAGTCAACTAGCAGGAAGCTCTCAACCTAGGATTCGCATTTATTGGCACTTATCAGAAAGACGCTTTTTCGACCACGAGTAAACAAACCCCCTTAGTGACTCGAACCTCCAGAGAGACAGAATCAAAATAGAACCTTGCAAAAAGTGCATCAGCTCAAGTAGACAGACTTCACAGAATTATACAAAGCAGAAGTGGATGGAAAAAGACTGATATCACAGGAAACAAATTTGCGTGAGAAAATGAACAATCTGAAGAGAGAAGTTAGTGAAAATATTTAAGCTCTAGATGAAGTCAGAGTGAGTATATCTGCCCCATTGTGACCGATTTTAAGCCTTCTCAACAAGAGTTATAAACCACTGATTCCTTTCATTTCACGGATCCAAACCATGCAGGATACATTTGCCAACATCATGCAGACCAACAGTAAGAGACTCCATTGACTTCATTTAGCCACCCTGAACCCTCACACAAACCATTCTAACTTCCCCTAACATGGCACGTCAAGGTAGGATGTCGCTCGGCATACGAACTACATATCCAAACCACCTGAGTCGACACAGGTCCACAACCTCATCAATCGACTTGCCTGTCTTGCCTAATACCCTTCGCCTAACCTTAACATTGCTCACATGGTGATTCCACCAGATGAGAGCAACGCTTAGAAGACACCTATGATCAAAACTCTGTAACAGCTTCATGTCGTCTATTTTCAATGGCCATACCTCACAGTCGTATAGCGAGACAGAACGGACTGAAGCACAGTATACTCGTGCTTTGCTATAAAGATAGTGGGATATCTCGCCAGTCGGTCTCAGAGGTGACGCGAGTTGACAAGTGCCAAACGGGCCTTCTGTATGTTAGCTGAAGTTTCGTCAGCAACCAGCCTGTTCGGTGGCCTGATCCAACTCCCCAAGTAAGTGAAGTGGTTGACACATTCCACCACTTCACTTCCTATCATTAAACTGGGAGTACTTGGAGCAGACCAGTTCTGGAGTATCCTCTTACATTTGACAGGTGCCAGAGAAACGCATACCGAAAATATTAGTACTTCTACTCAACGTGTCCAGAAGTCCCTGTATTTTTTTAGTGTCTTCATCTAGTAGGACAAAATGGATTACATACTTCAAGTCAACCAGATGACCTTCAGATAGGGATGGATGTGGATCAATCCCTGTGAAGTCAGATGTACCCAAGGTTATGTTCATTAGTACGTCAGTGACGAAGTAAAATAGGAACGGTGACAGTGAGCATCCCTGCCGGACACCACTAGTTGTTGTCAATTCACATGACAACTCTCTGTAACCCCTGACGCGGCTACATGAGTTCGAGTAGAGAGCTTCGATACACATTTTATACCAGCTCGATACTCCTTTCAGTCGAACACTGCCACGACACCTCACGATCGACGGAGTCAATCCTGGGAAAAGTATGATGGATGTACCGTGGTTCACGTCTGACTTTGCTGTTCTCTAGCTCCAGTTAGGCGTTGGATAACTGTGAACCCTAGGATCTTGGACACAATGTCAGTCAAACTAATTTCCCTATGGTTGCCACAGAAAGATTTCTCTCCCTTCTTATAGACTGGGATGATCAAAAAAGTAGACCGATCTGACGACACTACCTATTATTTCTATACACTATCTAGCACCATCACTCTGATTGCCAATTTTCCACCTCCATCCTTGAGAACTTCGAGTGGCAAACTATCAAGTCAGATTTTAGCACTAAGATATTCAGACTAACAATGACCTGATGCAATCTGGATTTAACACACTAATTGGTCACCAGTGGGTATACACTATAGATATCCAGTCCTCAGCACTGGCAAAAATCTACAGGTTCGTGTATCAGGAAGTAGGTTTTAAGGAGTCGCGAAGTCAACACAGATGAAACAGTTTATGTACAGAGTTTAGACCAGTGAGTCACGACTCTAATTCCTGAATACATAATACTAATGTATGTAGACCGAAAATCATGTAGTATCAGTTTAACCAAGTACCATATCCGATGGAAATTCATTTACATTTTTATCTCCGTATATACTTGTTACGTGCGAAATTTTGTAATTTATCATCAACTATTATTTATTTTCTACTTTTCCTCCTACATTACTTTAACGCAAGCGGAGCCACAATTCATTAGACTAGGTACTGAACTTCCAACCGATGGGTCACGGGTTGGAACCATTCTCCAACTATCGAGGTCTAGGCAGCCAGATAGTGTAATTATCTCACAAAATACGTGTGACTCATTGCTCACTGCACTAACATACACGTTGCTGCTGAGTGCATTTCGATTTCCCTTCGACTTTAACGACATTTCTTCACCTAATTCTTTATATGCTGATATCACATGGCAACTGAAATCGATACACTTACGCGCCAAATTCTATGTTGACTCGTCTGTTTGTGTCGAACTGTGCATTATCTCAATGACCAACTCTCTTCGGAGTGCAATACTGACTGATTAGGAGTCGAATTCTCAAGGAAATATCAGTTTCTTAAATGTTGCAGATATGCCTTGATAATAGTGTCTTAAAAGCAGGAAAACTGAGTTCAAGGCTTCTTCTGAATTACTTCCAAAACAAATTGAAAGACCATACATATTCATAGTTGAACAGTTTGGTAGGCGCATCGTGAAATTCGTCAACAGAATTTAGCTCTGAGAATCGAATGTCTTGACACTGACTACTCTTTATTGACTGGTTAATATACTCAAATATATCTGAAGTGCATTTACTTGAATGAGTCGAAAACAAAATACATGGACGTCCTGAGTTAAAGTGAACTTACCAGACCTTGATATCTGAATGAATCACTAACAGTACGCATCATCAACCAGCAAGACCAAATAAATTCAAACCGAAGATCCGTAAAAAAATCCAACATTATTATACTTGCCCAAGCCAGCAAAAGTTTAAAATAGGTTCCAAATCTGAAATCCAAAAATTTGTTATTTAAGAGAATTTACTGAAACGCTTAGAATTTATTCTACGAAATCATGTTACATTCAGTCAAAAAACTAAAAGTCTACACCTAGATTTAACAGCCATCACTCAGTATAACTACCTAACGCAGGCAATATTTTAGAGTTGAGGATGCTAAAACTCAACAGCTATGTTTATAATCATAGTAATACAAAAGGGTTATGCATAATACACTCTCTGTCTGATAAACATTTGGGTATTTCCTCAGTGATACGGATAGTGAAGATTGAAAAGTATACAAACGTTATGAATCTGGGTCGATAATCAGCCAATAATCATCTCAGGAATTTTTAAAAAACCGCTTCTACGTATGCGTGGAACGGGATATAAACATGCTACCTTCTGGAAGTTCGCCTGATGATTGAGTGCTGTTCGATTTTATGGATTACTTTATTTACTCTAAAAACAAACTCGGCACAGCATTATTACTAAACAATGAGCTAAGCAAAGTAAAATAACAATACGAGGAAATGAAACTCATGTGAAGGAAAGACAAGAGGAAAGTAAAAAGAGAACGGATTGACAAAGTCACGAAAATAAATTCAAAGAAACATTCATTAATTTTGAGTTACTTTCCCATGACAGAGGTAGTAAATTTACAGCATTATCATCACCAGTTTGAATGCTTAGCCAAATATGACGTTTCGAGCAACTGAGTTGTTAGATCTATCGGAATTCATCTAAAGAGTTACCATGTACTAACTTGATACAAATATCCTTCGGCCAACAGTGCTACTGCATGACCTGATCACCTCTCACCAACCTGAGGCTGGAAAAAGGTAAAGGGCATAAAGATGACGTTGGTAACAGGTATCTAAGTCACCGATTTTACTGACAGTGAACTAGATTTATTGCACTGTAAAAACGAATGAGGGTAAAAGAAGCCCTCCAGTTCGGGATTTCTAATTGATGAAGGTTTAAGATGCATTTTGAAAAACATACGGATTCCATTTTGCCCAAAGGATTTCCAGCCAGTAAGGTGTTTTTTTAAAAACAAACAGAACTCATTAACACAACCCCGTGCAAATGTCTGTGAGCAATTTTCATAAGAATGATTTGGAATTTTTTAGTTACAAGATGACTTTGTTTTTCAAGTATTTCAAAAAGATATTAACGTCCGCGGTGAACAGCCGGTGGTTATTAGTTCCATATAAACTGTTATCGCTTTACAGCAATCCTCTACATTTCCATCGTCATCCTTCCCTAATTTTTTCTCAACCTAATTTTGCTCTGTAAAATAGATCGTGCGACATCTTAGTCAGAGACTGTTGCTGGCAACAGCACGCTTTTTATAACTGCTGATTTCAAAGAGAAAGAACAGAACTTTAACCCGATGGCAAACAGATAGGTATTATCGCGTTTAGGGAAATCGGTAGTGAAACATTGGCACACTCAAAGATATTTTTAGATTGCGGTCATGAGACGGATTTAACGCGTGTTAATGCTTAACTACGTGCAGGAAATAAGATTAAATTGGTGTCTAGTTTGAAGATAGTTTCTAATCAGGGAACACTAAGGCATGATACAGATCTTCAGGCTTCGTGTTCAGCAAACTGACAACGATAGATGGTATACCTCCGTAGATTCATTTGTATTACTCGACGCAGACGCTCAACCGGGCAAACTAAGTACAATTAGGATCAAAACCAGCTTAGATACAAAATAAGTCTTAGTATATTTTAGGAGTGGTGCGAAACGAAAGTTTTGAGGAAATATGTATTAAGTGATGTTCTGCAAGTTTGACTGTTAGTGTAAGTACTTCCCTGAAAGGAAGGTTGGTAAAAGACTTTCATAACGAATACTTCACTGAGTAGTTAACGTAGTTTATACTCACACTAGCTGCTCTAAAAGACCATAACCTGGCTAGATGATAACATTCGTCACTAAATTCCCATGAAAAGTGAAGTAGTTGTTAGGATCTTAAAATAGGACGTAACAGTGATAAGGTAACCTACAAAAAGCCGAAAAGACAATAATGATAGCTATTAGCAGTCAGTCTAAACTAAGGGAAATACTTAGGTGCAAGGGTTAGAGAATACAATTCAAACTGGTTTCAACCAAGGTCATGATAAAAAAAAAACTTTGCGAACAAGGTAGTATCAAACATCTTATATTTAGCAGTATGAGTAAGAGTGGAAAATACCCGGCAAACTTAGCAAGGTGCAGAGTCTGTTAAACACCTTAATGTAGGTTCTAGGATGTGGATACAAATGAAATTCACTCATCAATTTGGTCCACATTTGTGCAGCAGGCAACGAGCCACACCTATTGTGTGAGGGGTAATGGCACTACGTGGCTGTCCAGACCTTAGTGGGGGGGGATTCCCGACCCATGACCTAGTGGTTGAAAGTCAACCCCCAAAACTGAGCCATAGCTCCATCAGAATGTGGATCACATACTGTTTATGATATTACCTAGTGCTCTGGTGTTCATCCACAATATGTATCTGTAAAGGAATCAAGAGTCTTTAATCGCTAAATCTATAAGGCACGTTTCCATAGGAAACAATGCTCGTATATTCAAAAATGCCTACTTTGTTGATACCTGTTCTGCATCTCCACAAAAATAATAGCTTAGAGTAACCACTTACATCACCTTAGATAACTCTACACAATAGTGAATGCCCAATCACCCACTGGGTAGAAGTAGCATACAGATGATTAATATTGAGTAGAAATACAAAATCAAGGATAGAATTGAAAGAGAATCCTTCCAAAAACCAGAGAAAATAACTGATAAAATACTAACAGCCTTGAGGATGTACAGACAAACAAAATACCCAAAGAAAGCGTTCCTAGACAGGGTTTCCTATACCGGACGCACGTTATCAAGCGGCGAAGCAAAATCATAACCTTTGTTTTTGAAGACTCGCTAAGCTGGTAATATGACGAAGAAAACATTCGTAAAATGCTGTAACCAGGCCCTCGAGTGGAACCCAGACGGGAAACGACGAGTTGGGCGTCCCAGTCGAGGGTGACATGGAGATCTCGTGCGGAAGAGATGAGAGCTTCTGGGCTGTCGAGGAGCCAGGTTCAAAATTTTGCAGAGAACAGAGTGCACTGGAGAAGTGCAACTGAAGCCCTATGTTCCATTAGGAACCCAAGGGACAAACTATAAATATAATAGGAACACATGGCAAATTCATGCTGATATGCCGACTTGAGACTCTTAAGTTAGCTGAAATCATGAGTGCATAAAACAAGTGTCGACGAAATTCCTCAGAATACTTTAGAATTGCCAAAACGCTGAAGCTTTATTGTGGTTTGCGGTGAAACCACCCCCCCCAAAAACTGACCATTCCACGCTCTCCATGCAAAGTTAAGTAAGCAGAAGAGTCTTGGGCTATCAGCACACCACTTTGACAAAAACGCCAAAATGTGCATTATTATACTAAGGTGGTCAGCTGTTTCGGCAGTACATAAGCACGACTAGATAGCCAGGTTCCACACACTTACATAAAATGAAACGATTCGTTTGATTTAATTCTGCGATTGTTTCTTTTTATTCGTCCATTCTCATAGTTCCGTCTTCGAATATACATTACTTAAGTCCAAACACATTTGACCTATTTCGACGGACTTTAAACCCCGCGCTCCCTTTTAATGGCTTGCTACAGGCGCGAACCAACATTTGTGAGCAGTTGTTTACACAAAGGGAGTAAATTCCAGTCACACCATGACATGGTGCCAGTAATCCACCATATTTTGATAACTTTCGCTCATGACAGAAGTTTCAAGCGCATATGTGGCGTTAAATTCCTTATCCTATTCATATTACATTAGTATAAACACTTATTGAGACCTTATGTAATCATCTTCAGGTCGAAGGCTCATATTGCTCTGTGACCGGTTGTATAGTATGCGTTCACCGATTCCACTTGTTCCTAGCAAGTTTACCAACAAAAATTAACAGGTTATCATTTAAAACTCATGGTCAAGGTTTAAAATACTAGACGGGTTTTTAGGTAAACGTATCATGAATACCCATGAATAAACCGTTGGAAATTTCCATATTTTTTTCTTGTTTAGAGGAGCCTTACCACGGAACCTTCCCTAATTTTTTAAAGAAATGAATCCCATTATTCACTCCTATCCGTAGAATCGATATGCGCCATCATTCAAAACATTTTGGGTTCTACAGATAAAGTTTCGGTCTCAGAGTATGTTTTTTCATGTTCACACTTCACCGATCAACACGCTGCTCCAGATATAATTCAGAAACAGACCGGCACATTTATCGGACTGCAGAGTAACGTAGTGTATCGTCACACACTTCCCCAAAATCAATAGCCTAGGGTTCAACAACATCCGACATAGATGCTGACCTTGATAGTTTAACTGGACTCGCTAAGCTGAAGGCACCCGGTCAAGCATCCTCGCCATTTGGCATGCTGTCGTGTCGCGTTGCACTGCTCGTATTCGACTCTCTAGCCAGTTAGTTGGAACGCATCGGTATCTTGGCACAACCACCCGAATATACAACTCCATCCGACTACGCTATCGTGTTCTTCCTTGGTCTCGTATTCGTGGGTATATAACAAGCTCGAGTAATTAGTGATTGGTCTTTGTGTCTGTCAAGTTCGCACCGAGACAATTCCTGAACTGGTGAGCCCAACGTGATCACATATCCCAACCAATAACAAATATTGAATTGGTGAGCCTGTTCCATTTTGTATTTGTATATTGTTTTCATTTCGATAACATTTATACATCTATTCACTACACTTTCCCATATCCCACCAGACTCCTTAGCTTATTCTTATTAAGCCGACTACGAACATTATCCAACTTGTGTCATGTTGGCCAGACAATGCAGAAACATGGTTTCTGTATGCCGAGGCAGATTTTCGAGGACAGGGAGTCTCATACCCTCATTCTCGATTTCTTGCCATCATACACTCACTACCGCGGGAATTAAACAGGTATGTTACAGCACACGTGTTTAATCCTGAAGTAAGTGATCCTTATGCACTTCTTAAGGTCGCACTCTTGAAGAAAAGTGATCTGACAGATCGCCAGCGCCTAGACGAATTACTTCGTAACATCGAGTTAGGCAGCCACTCAGCTACTGAAGTCCTCGCAGGCATACGAGAAGTTATGGGTGCACGAACATTCGACGATGGCCTTTTCCGAGAACTATTTCTCTCAAAACTACCGCAACCAGTGCAAACGTGTTGGTGACACTTCAGTCAGCCCCACTCGATGACCTGGCAGCCTCGGCAGATAATGAACTGGAGATCTCCAGCAGACCCGTCTCCAATGTACATTCTGCCTGCGATAAACCGGAGAACCAGGATTCAGAGGTGACGAGGCTGTGCAACTCTGTTAAACCGTTGCTATGGGCTCGAAGTCCTAGTTTGAGTAGCACTTCGCAGAAACGCATCTTAGCGTATCGCAGCAACTCGAGCGTGGTAGCCCGAAAACTAAACAAAACAGGGTGGAAAACCCTAAATGGTGCTGGTTTCATGATACTTACGGAGACGACGCCAGAAATTGTCGGAAACCATGCGGTTTCAACATAAGCACAAACCTGGGAAACTGTCGCGCCGGCACGTGTTCACGGCAACCGTAGCCGGCGGAAACAGCCGTTCGCGCTACGTCATGCATGTAAAAACGAAAGCTAGCTACCTCCCGACACCGGCGCAGAAGTTAGCGTTCTCCCCGCACCGACAGAGAAGCATCATCATAATCCATCCTTCAGCCCCCAAGCAGCTAACGGCGAGGCGACCGCGACATTTGGGAGACAGTATGCCTGCCTCAGCTCAGGTTTACGTAAACCTATTCACTGCATTTTCCTCCTGGCTGACTTTTCTATGCCCATCATTGGCATAAATTTGCTAAACCATTACGATCTACTCGTAGATGCTAGCCGTCAACGTCTGAAAGATAACAACACAAGGTTATCTACTGGCGGCACCACCTATGTAGGTCCGGGTTTAGCCATCGTTGGAACCAAAACAATCGGGCGACACGCCCTACCAGACAGTGTTGGAGAAATATCCAGGGTTACAACAACCGGATCATTCTCTTCCGTGCACAACCAGAAATGTTATGCACCACGCGACAGCCGCAGGTTCACCTGTGGCATCCGAAGCACGCCGTCTGGTCCCTGATAACCTCAAAACGGCGAAGAGTGAATTAGACCACATGCTCAAACCGGGCATTGCCAAACCTTCAAGTATTCCTTAGGCATCACCATTGCATATGGTTCCCAGAAAGGATAGCAAGGACTGGCGTCCAACCGGTGATTACCGAAGGCTTAACGCCGAAACAATACCGGACTGCTACCCGATACCTCACGTTTACTACTTGACCGCGAAGTTAGGCGGAATGAACATTTTATGTGAAATCGATCTGGTCAAAGCGTGCAACCAGATAACTATGGTAGCAGAAGACGCGGAAACAAGGTATGGCACATTCGGTGGGGAACTCCTGGCTATGTACTGTTCTGTAAGCCATTTTCAACATTCGGTGGAAGGTCGTGATTTCATCATTTACACAGACCACTAACCGTTAACCTTTTCACTCAGCTCGGCATCTGACAAATACTCCCCACGTGAGTCACGTCAGCTGGATTACACCCCCCCCCCCCAGTTCACGTCAGACACCTGCCACATTTCTGGGGCCAATAACTCTGTAGCCCATGCACTACCACAAATAGCTTCGACAAACCACATCGAGGGCGTTGACCTCGTTGAACTGGCTCGGTATCAAAAGGAAGACCTTGAGCTGCATCAGGAGTCGTCTTCCAAAACTCCCAAGCTACAACTGTGCAATATAATGCAATGTCTCTGCGAGTCAATCACGCCAAACAGTTGCGAAGAGATTTCGACGCAACGCCTTCAATACCTTGTACAGCCTGTCCCATCCAGGTGTACGAGCCACTATCAGGCTTATCGCACAACGTTTCTGCTGGCCTGGGATGAACAAGGAGGTTAAGGAGTGGGCTCAGTTTTGCTAAGCCTGTCGGAAGTGCAAAGTCGCGGGACGCACGGGAAGCCCTTCAGGCTCTTTCTAGCCCCAGACATGCGTTTTCATCACGCCCATATAGATATTGCTGGACTTCTATCAGGATCCAGTGGATTCACTCAACTTGTCACCTGAGTCGATCGTTCTGCTAGATCGCCAGAAGCATCACTAATTTAGGGTATTACTGCCAAGGCTGTCGCCCGTGCTATTGTCGAAAGATGGATCGCAAACTTTGGGAGCCTATCCTGTGTGGCGGCCTACCAAAAGCACCAGTTCATTTGTGGGTTATCCCACACTTTAACCGCACCTTTAGATTGCATTCAGTTCCAAACCACAGCCTATCATCGGCAAGAAAGTGGTATGGTAGAATGTTTCCACGAACAGCTGACAGCTCCCCTTTCAATTGCAAACATGCCTCAGTGGGCTAAGGCTTTGCGTGTAGTCATGCTAGGTGTTCAGAACGCTTTGAAAGCTGACGCTGTGTGCACTTCTGCAGAACTTGTCTATGGAACTACTCTTCGCCTACCAGGTGAGTTCGGCTCCCCTTCAACCTTCACAGATGCTTTCGATAGGACATCTGACGCGACTAGGCCAACAAACGCAATGTGATCAATCAGGCCTACTCCTTTTTGACCCCAAAAAACTGTCTTCGTTCACCTCGTTTTAAAAAGACGGCACACGTTTTCATACGCTATGATGTCGTTTGTCGACCACTTGAATCAACTCACGACAAACCATCCAAAGTCACCGAGCGGCATGAAAAATTTTATATCACCTAGCCAAAAGAATGTGAAGATACTGTTTGTATTGACTGTTTGAAACCAGCTTACTTCGATGGTAATCCCATCGTGAGTGACGTTTCTGCTCTCTACAGCCAGCCAGAAGGTAGCCTAACAATCGAAGTTCTTGACGATATTCCTAGTACTGCACAGGCAAAACAACCAACTGAGCAACAAAATCGCGATCAGATCCAACTGTCAGGTTACCGGATTCTGAAAAAGTGGAGCCGGGTTGCTTAATCGTGAAGCTTTCACCTTCTTTCTGGACGACATCATCAGCACTAACTTCAGTATGAAGTGAGCTGTCAATATCTCTCCGTGAGTGATTTAGCGGCCTGCTCTGACAGTATGGTCTGTGATTGATTGTTTCCATCGATTGTTGTGTCATTGACTGCATACACTTTCCCGTTGGCTGTTCCTCTGCCTGACCTCTGACCTTCCTGTCGTCCACCATTTTGGCTTATCAGTTGATAGATTGGGTCTGTGTTCATACATCTGTTGACCGCTGACTGACTGACCTGAATACCAAGCTTCTAGGAATTCTCTGATATTCTTTGAGTTTCCTCTGTCCAAAATTTCTACATTGTCGAAATTGAATTCATGTCCATAATTATCCAAGTGCATTGAAATGAGTGACGAAATAACGTAGCGTTTAATAGCCAACTGGTGCTCATGTAGACGAAGACGAAGAGGGCAACCACTTTGTCCAGTGTAATGGTGACTACCGGATTGAATTACAACATGAGAGGTTCCTCGGAACCGAAGTCCTTTGCGGCATTAGAATCGTCACTTAA